TCTTCACCAAAGAAACTAGGAAACAAGAAGGACTCAAAGAGATAAATGCATGGACTCCAGAGAATGGGAAGGGGCAGGATCTCCTGAGCTAATTGGGAGCATGAGGCTAGGGGAGAGGGAGTTGCCAGAATGAGAGGAGGAGAAGAGGAGGGGAGAAGAAGAAATGAAGGAGCAGAAATATTGAGTTGGGGGAAGAACAGAGGAGAGCAGGATGAGAGATACCATATCAGAGGGAGCCATTATAGGTCCGAGGAGAGATCTGGCACTAGGGAGATTTCCAGAGATCTACAAGGATGACACGAACTGACAATCCAGACAATGGTGGAGAGGATAACCTAAACGCCCTTCCCCTATGATGCGATTGATGACTACTTTTTATGCCATCCTAGAGCCCCCATCCAGTGGCTGATGGAAGCAGAGGCAGACACCCACAGATATACACTGAACTGAACTCTGGAACTTAGTTGCAGAGAGGGAGGAATGAAGATTGAAGGGGTTGGTACCAGGCTGGTGAATCCCACACAAACATCTGGCCTGAACAAGGGGGAAGCACATCGACCCCAGACTGCTGCATGGGAGGCCAGCACGGAACTGATCCAGACCCTTGAATATGGATGTCAAAGAGGAGGCCTCTGCACTCTAGGGGGCCCCTGGTAGTGGATTAGTATTTTTCCCTGGTGTAAGAAGGGACTTTGAGAGCCCATCCCATGTCTCAGCCTGGACACATGGGGGAGGGCCTAGGCCTGGCCCAGGATGATGTGGTGGACTTTGGGGAGCCCCCGTTGAGGGGGCTGGGGAGTGGAGGGTGGATGGGGTAGGGACAGGTGGGAGGTTGGGGGGAGGGGAGGGAGAGGGAGGAGGGATTGACATGTGAAGCAAGCATGTTCCTAATTTGAACTAATAAAAAATTACAAAAAACCCACACATATGAGTCACAGGAGAAGAATTTAGAAAGATGACTAAAGCATATTAAAGGCCTTTGTTCCAGGTGGTCTTGGAGCTGAGTCACAGCTTTAAAGCAACGCTTCTCAAAGTGTTTATAGTGGAAAATCAAATTTTAAATTAGATAATAATACAGATCAATATATTTATTAGTGTAATTTTTCTCTAAAGTGAAAGAAGTGTGCCAGAAGTAGTATTGCATGCCTTTAATCCCAGCAATTTGGAGTAGAGGTTGACGCATCTTTGTGAGTTTGAGTCCAGTTTGGTCTACATAGTGAGTTCTAGAACAAGGGCATCATAGATCCGATCTCAAAAAACCCAAATAAATTAATTTATAAAAATAAAATAAAGAAAAAAGAAAAAAAATTACAAGTCATAATGCTCTATTATTAGAGTTAATAGTCTTAAAATTCCTCAGTCAAATTGCTGCAAAGTTTTCTGAACATTTGAAGTTCCTGAATGTGACAGGCAGAATTATGGTCCCCCAAGGCAGACCACATCCCAGTGTCTAGAGCCTGTGAATCTGTTTTCTTACTCAGTGAAGGGACTTGGCAGACATGATGCAGGGTCTTATGATAGGAATGTCATCTTGGATTACCCAGGTTCCAGTGTCATCACATGGGGCCTTCTGAGGGAAGGAGCTGTGAGGCAGGAAGTTGAGGTCAGAGTGAGGTGAGCCAAGAAGTATGTCACTTTAGAGCAAAGAGAAGGCAGGGAGTAGGTTCTCCTGTGAAGCCTGTAGAAGCACAGCCCTTTAACTTGATTTCATCTTCTGTAACTGCATTGTTTATGCCACTAACTTTTTGGCAATTTGTCACAGCATTAGCAAGAACCCATAAATATACTCTATGTTTTTCAGACTGGAATTAGTCTGAGGCCCTTAAAGTAACACAGCTTTAAAGAGAATAAAACCCAATGATTGTGAATGATTCCAGGTCACAGCACAAACAAATGACAGTGAATTTTCTGAGGCTTGGATAAGATACCTTCAAAATAATAGGGAATACATAAAAATGAAAATTTAAAAGCTTATTAACAAAAAGGCAAAAATTCTAAACCAAATATGTTAGCAAATTTAAGATATAGTGAAAGAAGCATGCACTATGAACAAATAGGCTGCACCAATATAAATATGTCTCTTTATGGAAAACCTTTTAAAGAACTACTTAATATAGTCTATCAAATGAACAAATGAAAGAGAGATCATATTCATAGATTATTTTAACCTAATAGTCTCTAAAAGTTAATATTTTATTCATGAGCCATTCTTAATTAAAGTCTAAAAAGAAGAAGGGAGGAGACCACATAAAGTTTCAGAGACTAATTATTAATAGCTAGTAATTTAGATTTGGACAAGTGACAAAATATGGAAATGATTGCTATTGAAATCAGGATAATATGGGGGTACTTGGCTTCTCAACTATTGTTCAGTATTGTTTTGAAAGTTTCATCTAATATATTAGATCAAGAAAAGGAAATAATTTGAATTAGCATGGCACAAAAAGAGGAAATTTATTTCATTTATAGATGATAAGCTGATTAAATTATAGTGATAAGTTTCTAGGAAATCCAGAATGATTTGCAAAATCCTGTGGAAAACCTGTAAAGGAACTTAAGAGTATGTCTGAATATGAGGCAAATATAAGAAAAAATAGTTTCTTTCCTTATTTGAAAAAAAATCCCAGTTGGAATTTTAAATGAAAAAATTGTTTTCTCTAACTTGTTGAAATGACTGAGGACCTAGTAGTTAAAATTGAGCAAAGGAAAGGTGAACACTCAACCCACCCTAACCCATGATTTGTTCATTTACTTAGTAAGGTATTTCTTCTCTTTTGCTTCCTTTCCTCCTTTCTTTTTTCCTTCTTTCTTTTCTCCAGAGACTCACGACATAATAATGGCTACCCTGAAACTCACTACATAGAACAGGTTGACTTCAGAGACACAGAATTCTACCTGCCTCAACCTCCCAACTACTACAGGGAGGTATTAGAAATGTACTCCATTATGCTGGTCCCTGAAAACTTTTTGAGCACTTAAGGGGACACACTTCTCTAGGTATGGAGGCATCTTTTGGTCATAAGAAACAGAGAAAAGAAATTGTGCAAAGCAAAGTCCTCATCCTCACGGACGCTCTAGTGAGGCTCTGGCTTAAGTATAGGCAACAGGCATTTAGCAGGGCTCAGTAGAGCCCCACTAATGGGAATTCAGTGGGTGCAATTGTAGACATAAGTTTCTGTCCTGCCCTGTTCTG